CTGCTTCAACAACCCCCCCTCCCAAAATCCACTATCTGCTTCAACAAAAACAAAAAAATCCACTATCTGCTTCAACAAAACCAAAAAAATCCACTATCTACTTCAACAAAACCAAAAAAAATCCACTATCTGCTTCAATAAAAATAAAAAAAAAGAAATTTTGTTGGATTTTAATCTGACAAATCAACACAAAGTAATATATTCTAGTATAGAGGAAGACAAATATTTTTAAACCAATAAAAATATTTATTGGTTTAAAAATAAACCAATAAATGAAATAATACATTTCAATTGTAAAATTGAAATAAGATTTCAATTTTATAATTGAAATCTTATTTTCAATTGTAAAATAAGGTTTTACAATTGAAATGTATTATTTAAGAAGTTAGAATTAATTATTCCATGTGACATTTAATTATTTAGTTGCATATTCATAATTCCACAGTGTATTTAATTAATTATTGATTTTATTTTATTTTACATAAAACCACTTTTTCCTTAAATTGCAGAAACATATTAGTAGTTTTTGTCAGCCTTGCACATATTGAAACTGAAATATTTACCTATTCTTGTTAAAGGAGCAGTATTATGTGTAGTGCCATTTTAAAGCTTAATCAAGAAACTCTGTTACCTTCAGCTATTTAAAAAATTATTTACACTATATGACTTAAAATAAGTTGTATTTCCTTATTTAACGCCTCTGTTGCTTTAAAAACTCATGCTATTTCCGAAGCTCCGCCTTCAGGAAGTCATCACAGCGCTTCTCTATTAACCTGTTAACGATTTTATCAGCGTTTCACTGATAAATAGTTCAGATAATGTTGCTGCTGGCGAGTCTGACGGAGGGAGAGTGGCTCTATTAGCTTGGAAACTGCAGCTCCGAGGAGGAGCTGCGCCTTGAAGGTGATGCTAGTAGGTGGTGCTGGGACGATAAATTGTCCCAGAAATTATTGCGATAAATAATTATATTATTTTGGGCCATTTTCAAGTGGTAATGGCTTGATAATGTAGGAACACATTCTCAAAGATCAATAAATGTTAAATTCCAACGAGAACGTAACAACTTAACACTGGAACTGGAAGACATTTTAAATATCGAAATAAACACAAATAAATAAAATGGGTAATGAAGTCAATGTCAACAAAACTATCCTTCTAAAAAAAGGACTATTTGAGACCAAAACACCAGACTGTAAACTTTTGT